CAGACTCCAACAGCACACAATTTTATGTTCTGTATCTCTACTTCCTCTCATCTTTTAGATTTCTGGAACTGTTTTGAGATGCTACCTCCTAGTGTCAACTTGACAAGTGAGGATTGATTTAATACTATCACTTTTGCATGATTGAAAATATTGTCTTCGTGAGCCCAAGAGGCTCGGTTTTTCATCACTGATCACCTGCATTTCTATCTTTTCTCCCACATGAGTCACACCCACACACACACACAGGCTCAGTGACTAACTTGATGCCTCAACCCACTAAGGCATATTTAAGAATCACTGGTGTTATCTCATTTGCAGTATCTACCCCGGAAGCTTCATTTTTTGTGAACAGATAGAGCCTGGATCTAGATGGTGTTTACATGGATTTCTACAAGGATCAATGAAATTCTGCAAAATCCTGATGCCAGAATTGCCATCAAAGAGGTAGATAAAGGTGAAGTGACTCAATTCTCAGACTGAGATCATAATCAAAAGAAATAATGGCTGCAAGTGATCTCAACAACCAAATGATACGATCCTGTAAGTGGCTTCAAGATACCACCTAAGATCTTACACATGAACAATTTATGATGCAGTTACTATAGGTGCAAAGTGCAGCAGTACAACGTGGAGTGCAATGTGGATCCTGTGCAGCATGATCACACACTTGCACTTTCATCCCAGTCCACAAAGGCCACAAAGTGGTCACTGAACTTTTGTCTTCTACAGTTGCTTTAACAGTCAGCACCATCATGTCGCTGTGATGTTTATGTGACTGACACACACCACCACAAATTAATCAATATGCATCGACGCTTCAAATAACTCAGTAACTAGAACTCTCCTCTAGAGGTGACAGTGCCTGCTGAGTACTATCAATCACTACTTGTGTTTTTGTTGTTGTAAAATAGAGGTATTCAATAGACTTTGGGCAGTGATTGAAATGTCTTCATGTGTAAACTGTCCCGAATAGCGGTCATTAGACACATGGCATACTGAACACTTGTAATGTGGCTGGTGTGACAAAAATGCTGAAATATTTCATGTGAATAAGTTTTATAATAAGTAGCATAGTGATTATGTTATTGAACGGCATAATTCCAAAATGTAAGTATTTCAGGATGAAATCATTTTTTTCATTAGTTCCTGTCTAGTATGTTATACATATTATACTCTAAATAATCACATACACATAAAAACTGATTTTCTTTTGTAACCAAAGGATCTTGCTCAGGATTATTTGCAGTAAGAAACTGAAAACGAAAGCACATTTGAAACCTGTATATCTGGCTTGGTTCTTTTACTGTGAGCAATCTTGACAGAATGGGAAGCATCTTTAATTACTTGAGAATTAATGCACTGAGATATTTTAAACATTGTTACTCTTAACCAGTAGTTAATGCACAAAGCATCTTAGAAGCAGTATTTAAAGAAGGATTTCAATATGAGGGATTAGATCAAATCAGTTGGATTTCAGGCATCATGAGTACGGCTAAATTATTGGTGCCTAGAATGCTGTGTAGCAGATTTGGGAACATATGTAATGGATAAGTAGTTAAAACCTGGTGAACAAGACTAGGCTACCACTGGGCGGTGATGGTTGCTACATGATCATACGCATGTGTCAAAAGCTTCAAGATGGTAATACTGGAAAAGGCAAACTATGCCACTTTTTTTTAATAAAAAGGGAAAATAAGAAACATGGGAGTCATAGGAGGTGAGTTAGTGGGAAGTGAGGCAAGCCAATCAGTAAACCCGTGCAGCACACATATCTCTTGGAAATGAAACAGAAAAGGCCCCAAGCACCGGCATGGGAATAGGATGCAGGACACACCCTGTGTGATACCAGGTGGGCCGTTGGACTTCTCTGGGCTTGAGTGTCCTCCTTTGAAAAACACATACAATGAGAACACCTAGCTCATGATTTAGGGGAGATTGAAGTGAATGAGAAAATGTCTCTAACATGTCCAGCAGTAGAACTGCACCAGGTGAATAACCAAGCAGATGGTAAGTATAAATAAAACGCAAGCTTGTTTTCTAAATCAAGTCCTTTCTTCGGGTTTCTCTGATCATGACCAGGAGTTTCTCTTTCCATGTGCCTTGGAGGAACTGGAAAGTGGGTGTGAAGCACAGTTACCAAAGTGGACATAATTTAGATCGTTTTGGAGTACAGGACATGGGGAAATGCAGAGCATGCTTCTAGAAAAACCTGATTGTTTGCCAGCAGCCAGATTACTACAACATAAAAAATTTAAACAAAATCTCAAGTCTCTAGTTCACATAAACATGTTATATTTAATGTATTTTTCCTTATGATAAGTAGACCAAGCTGAAAGTTCAGCATATTGAATCCACTGATACTATATCCAATTTAAGAAATTAATTCTTCAGAGGCACTGGGTATGGTTTATAGTCAATGGGACATTTAAAGAATTTATGACCTAAAACATCAACATTCAACTTCTTGCATATTTAATAATAATATTGGAACATTTAAGTTCAGTATACCTTGCAACACTCTAACTCATTTAATTCAAAGATCCTAAATTCTCTTTAATTGAAAGAAACCATTCCTTAAAAGCTCTTAAAACTCCTCCCTCTCCTCTATGACTCACAGTTAAGCCTCCTTACAGGAAAGTCATGATAATTTTTCCCATAAGAAATACCTGTTCAGTGGATCAAGAAAGGATTTGTTCCAGTAAATACACTTTAATGACAATTTCTCTGCTTGGGGAGTTATTGGGAAAAGGAAAAAGCAATTGCTGCCCATACCTGTTCAAAACATCAGGGCATTTTGATAAAGTCCCATTTTCATGCTAACTCCTGGGCTCCAAGGACACTGATGACGAAGAATGAACAGGCCCACGAAACAAGGCAGCGGGGGCAAAGAATTGAAGTAGAGGCTTAATCTGTCATTTGTAGGTGGGGGACCTCAGTCTTTTGAAACACTCAATCCCTAGAACAATGTACTCACCCCACTTGAGGTTGCTAAGCTCTCTAGGTCAGCTGTATGCTAGCAATGTAGAAGGTCATCTTTGTTACAATGGTGAGGGGTACAAAAGTTGTCACCTTCCCATTTTTGAGTTCCAACACAGGGTGATTCAAGCTTGAGATCATTAAGAACAGCAAATATAGTGCTTCAAGTTAAAGCGCACATCACCCAAAGGTCACAGAAAATATTCAATAGATGGAAATCTACATACTCCCAAATAGCTTATAAGCAATGCTTTACTGAGAAAAAAAACTTAGTAAATATGACACATTAATAAAATCAAATACTGCTCAGTCATAGAAATGAATGACAAACTGAAACAGACCACACATCGGTGAACCTAGAAAACACCACTGCATCCCCAGACAGACAGAAAGGGCCCAGTGAGGTGCGGCTGTTACATGAAGTGTCCAGAACAGGTGAGTCTACAGCAAGCAGCTGGTGGCTGCCAGAAACTAGAATCTGAGAGAAAGGAAAATATCAGTGAGTGAGCACAGAACTCCTCTCCAGGATGTAAACGACCTGCAGTTTAGATCGTGGTGATGCAGGTATACAAAAAAGCACTGAATTGTATCTTTAAAATGTATTTCAGTTTTTCAAAATTCACAAAATATTTTCATAGCATGGTTTGGATGATCTATTATGCAATCCTCTGGTTTATCTCACTATTAGTGTGAGAGTTGCTTAACAAACTTCAAGACAAAGGGGACCTAGGTTTGTGAACTAGTGCAAAAACAGAACTGAACACTCAACAGGTGCGTGCACGCTGGCCACCGCACTTGGCAAGAACGTCTTCCTTCTCTGAAATCAACAGCAGGCTTTCCCAAACAAGCAGGACCAGAGAGATGCCCCTCTAGGACGCAGGCCCCGGCTGTGTGCATCCTAGAACCCCTGAGCACCTTCATCAAGGTTTCTGAATTTAGATTATGTTCTCAAACGTGGTGGGACATGTGCCATTATCAAATTTGGATGCAACTGTCGTCGATTAAAACTTGAAAACGATTTCTGCTGGCAAAGGTAACTGTTCCAACAACAGCGCCAGCTATTGAATGAAACCGCAAGTTTAATGTCATCTTATTTTGAGCCATCTAAAATTTAAAGATTAAATGACCTGGTTGACAACAGTTCAATGTATAGCCACAGCAACCATGAAACCAAACTGGGTAACTTTCAGGTTAACAGCTCCATGATTCTTCCACCCCATTGTGACTGAATATTGTTAGAAAAAAAAAAAAGACATCGCTTTAGTAAAATACAAATATCCCATCTCCCAATTCTCCTGGTGAAAGACCTGAACCTCTGAGCTTGCATCATAGGAAAATCCTCCCACTGGCTATCTCGGAAGGCACTTGTTGTTTTACATGTGCAAGCTAAGAGGTGGCAGGTGACAATGCAAGCATGAAAAAAAAAAAGTCCACCCGTAGTTATCTTCGCCTTGGCAGCAGCAGAACCCTGATAGAGATTTTGATTGAAACTTTTTTTTTTAAAGTAACTGCCCAGACTTGACTATGACTAAATTGTCAGTATTTAAATACACTGAAAAGTCAGGTCGGCGCTTGTTCCTGCTCCTACTCCTGGTGTGCCTGTGTTGTAATTCACATCAGACACGTGCATTTTTTCATTGAAGCCTATTAAATGCCCATAGCATGAAAATGCAGAGCCCTAAGTGGCCCCGCGCCACGGTATTATTTCTGGTCGTTGATTTGTCCTGTGATATGTATCGGAAAGGCTGCCCGCACACTGTTAAGGGAAACGCGGCTGGGGTAGGGCAGTAACCACGCAACCGCTCCTCTCTCGGGTCCTGGGCTCTCACCCCGCGGGCAGCTGGAGCCTGGCGGAGGCCAAGGGGAGGGGGCGCGCTGACAGCGTCCCACGGTCGCCACCATCACGGGATCCCAGTGCGGTTCCCTCTTCCTCCTGGATCGACGATGGAGTCAAGCCGCTGGTAGCCAGTGGTTCCAACCCCCCCAAATCCCGGGGATGCGACCCACTGAGGTCTATCACTCACCCAGACGGCAAACACAGAGCAGCTGAACGCACGCGAGGAAGCGCTGGAGGACGGTCATGGCCAGACGCTCCGGCGCCCCGCGCGCCGGGATCCCTCGGCTGCTTCTCCGGGTGGGCAGGGAGGGGGCGCGAAGGAAGCGCTCTCTTTTTATCCTCCAGTGTACACACTGGTGTGTGTGTGTGTGTGTGTGTGTGTGTGTGTGTGTGTGTAGAGAGAGAGAGAGAGAGAGAGACTGAGAGAGAGACAGAGAGATGGATGGATGCAGCCGAAGGCGCGTGGAGGAGAGCGGGGGCCACGGGCCGAGGAGCCCGTCGGCTGGCGGGCGGTCCTGGCTCTGCTGCGCGGGCGGCAGCAGCCGCGGTCTGAGCGCTCGGTGCGCGGCGGCGCGGGAGTGCCGGGTGCGCGCCGGGGCCGGGCGGTGCGCGCTGCGCTCGGCCGGGGGCGGAGACGCGGGCCGGCGGCCCGGGGCGCGCACGGGGGCGGCGGGGAGCGGCTGCGGCGCCAGGTCTCAGTCCCAGGAGAGAGATTCTCGCTGGTGCACCCCTCCTCCTGCCCCCTGGCCGCTGGTTTCGCCACCCCGGAGTTAGTAGGGCCTGACGAGGGTTAGAATCTTCGCACAGAAACCGTTCTCGTTGAGACCTCTTCATCCCTTGGGAAGAGGAGGCCAGACCCTCATTGTCCCACACAGTCAGGGGCTGACCTTAGGGCTACCCCCCTCGGCTTGTTTTCCATTTTATTGTTGTCCTCTCGGCAGATGCTAAGTGGGTCCAATCAGAGATTGCTGGGGATGCCTGGGTACTCCTCCCCCCTTTTCATTTTCTGAGTAACCAAAGTGGTCCCAGACGCATTATCTCTAGGGCAGCCGACTCCAAATAATCTCTGGTGTTGGTTGTGACCAACCTGACACTGACCCTTGCCGAGACCCCAATCAAAGTGTCCAGCTGTGCACTGTCCAGCTGTGCACAGCTGCTGAGGGAACTTCAGCACTGGGCTGGCCCTGCGGTTCGGAACTACCAAGGGCCCCCTTTTCCAGGGTCGCTCCCTGGACCCGGTATGCAAATAAAACAGAATACTCGCCCTCGGCTGCTTTAGAACTGAAAAAGTTACCCTGAGTGTGCCCACTTGTTCGTATCATTGATAACTTGACTGAGGGCACCTCGATGGCAGGAACTTTGCGTTTGGTGTGATAACCCAGGTGCTACACAGTGATGACAATGAATAAAAGAACCCATCAGTAGGTGCTCACGAAATGTTTGCTGAATTAATTGGAAACCTGAGTGAAATGACAGAGAAGTTAGCTGGTGGTGCTCTTCCAGACCCTGTCTACACACAATCTTTAAAATCTGAGATATTTATTAACATGATACTTTATCAATATTAACACATTTTCTCCTGGTAGGAAAAGCCTCTTGAAGGCTTTTTGAGGCACAGCAAACCAAGTTCTGGAGTTGTCCCTTTTATTCTCAGTAATGTGTGGGGGAGGGACGGTGTGTGCCCCTGTGTTCCATGTCGATCTTGAAAGTGGCATTTCAGCTTTACAAAATTGAACGTGAACTCACTGCTTCACAAAACTTGTTTCTCATATTTGAAGTTTGGGTGTTACTACCACTTTTCGATGATACGCACAGCTTCTAAACACCGGGCTAAGTGTACAGTGATAAACATACAGTTCGCTCTTGCTTCAGGAATTGATTCTAGTCATGTGATGACAAATTTCTAAGCCATTACAGTGTTTATTCAGAAATGCATATCCAAAAAGTTGACCATAGTTCTTCCCATTACCTGTGAACCAAAATAGAAATAAGTTTCGAAAGAGTTATGATGGGAACGCACCATTTCTGCTTGTTTAACCATGAGTGTGTATGAAGCCAGCAGTGCAAGCAGTTCAGAGAAAGTGTTTATTCAGTATGGACTGGAATAGGCAGGGAAGATTTCCTAGAGATGTGTAGCTAAGCCAGAAGAACTCAAAGAAAAAAAAAAGATGTCAAAAGTGGCAGGGACAAGAATGGAAGAAACAGATGTCATATGCTCTAAAAAGAAAACTATGAATTACATCCGAGCAGTTTGGGACTGTTTAGATTGCAAGGAACGTTGCCTTCCTAGTGGAGCAGCTTGTAGATGCCACACTCGTCAGAAGGAGCCACAAAAGAAGGTCGAAGACTCCTAACTGTTTAGAAGGTAGCTTCTTCTTTCGCAGATTCCATCAGCTTGTGAGCACAATCCAGCAACAACAGCATCATCAGTGCAACTCCTTAATGATATCACCCGTCACGCTTTAGTTAGATCACTAAACAAAGATACTTTCCATAGGAAAATGAAGATTTTACTTTCTGTTGAGTCAGTTCTCATGGTTATGGTTACTAGTGTTTGCCTGGGAAAACACAAAAGCCAACTTTGGGAATTAAATCACATTGCTGTTAAGGTTTGTGTGGGGAGCTGGATGCAAATCTATTCTATTAGATGAATAGCAGTAGAAAATTGACATGGAAGCAGTGGAAGTTGACATGGCCAACTCAGGATCTTCTGATGGACCTGGGAAGGGGAGATGGATTGGGAAGTTCCTTGGAAAATAAATCACTCCCAGGTGTGGGTGGTAAAGAAAACTTCATGAAGATAAGAACACCAATTTTATGGGAGCCATGGTCGTTTTGAGATGTACTGTTTGGTCAATGTGTATTGAGAAGAGTTAGGATGGGAATGTGTATTGACCAGATAATACATCTCAAAACCCTGCATGCCTCCTTTCAGAGTCTGGTTTTGTGTGTGTGTGTATATTGACAGAGAATCTCTACATCTATCTAAAGCAATTGTTTATTCTGATGAGTTATATCAATCTGTTTTACATGTTATAAATTCAAATCCATATGTAAGCTGTGGGAGGTTTCTACTTTCAGTGGCTATAAACATACATGACAAGAAAAATTCAAACTAAAGAGGGAAGCGGTTATATCAGTTGGACCAGTAAGGTCACAACAGAGTTCATCTCAGTTATTTGCTTTTACTTTTTTCCAGTTATCAAACCCAATTAGGTGTGTAAGATTGTCTTCACTGATAGTTCCAGTGCTGAGTCATAACACCTTGGGTCTGTTTGAAGACGTTACTATGTCTAAGAGAAACATCATGGCATGTTACTTAATTAGCCTTGCTATCTTATCAAGACTGAATATTACAGTTGTTATGTTCAGAGTATATAATTCAGTGAGAAAATTGTGTCAAAAAGCACAAAAGGGGTTCTTTGGTGCAGTACAATTCAGAATTAATCTTGTACATATATCAACAGAACCATACTGAGGTCCTCAAGGTTGGAGAACAAAGAGGCAATATTAGATCTTGGTTTCTTCGTGAAGATCATAACATCCAGCAAAATCTAAAAATCTTATTAGGAAGAAAGCACGGAATACTACTAATGTTATCTTCTTTTGGACTACCAATTCTAAGCCAAATACTTTTACATCTTGGCCAGAGCATATAGAATAAAACTATACTGAAAAAAACTCAGAATCAATAGGGTTCAGAGGTTCATGGCTACATAATGTGTGACAATCACTTTGCCAACTTTCCTAGGTCATGCATGTTAAAAATTGTTCTAGAGAGTTTTGATGGAAATTATGCAAACCTGAAAGAGCTCAGAAAATGTTAGCCCACATCTCCATCAAGTGTGAAAACGTTGCTCCAACTCTCAAGGTTTCAGTAGAAGATTAAGAAGATGAATGAGGGATGAAAAATGACAGTTATGCAAATAGAATCTTTCATAAAAAGTCACTTGATGAATATCTCCTTTGTTTTCTTACCTTTTAATTAAAAATGTTGGTTACATTTACATAGTTTAAGATCATGAAGGCATGAACTCTTGCCTGCTTGTGTTTATAATAACACCACTCACTCTTTTACCACTTAGAAAGTGCAAAAACACAATTATCCTTTTTTAAATCGGAGCCATGTTGCCCTCACTCTACAGTCAGAATATAGCACTCTAAGGAAGTATTTCTGAAAAGAGCCTGATGAAATGGACATACTCCTTCAGTTCCACCGAGAACATTGTGTTCCTCCTGATTGTACTTCAGAGCTAAATATCATCGTGGCTATATTACTAACTAATTTGGATTTTCAGACTTTCACATGCTTATAACAGGTTATTGAAGAACGGAGACTCACAGAGCAGTAATGTAAAGTTGCTATTTTTTCTCAACAGCTACAATACTGTAAACTATTGTGATCATCCCTTATTGCCCCTTGGTCAGAATCAGTAAATGAACTCTGCAGGTTTATGTTCTATTGACTTTAACCCCACTCCCCACCCCCACACCAAATCTTTCTTAGAGATGGATAGGCTCTAATACCTTGATCATGGAGCACTCTTTTTCATTGCTTTTTAGATTTTTAAATTTTTTATTGGAAAAGCAGATTTGCAGAGAAGGAGATACAGAGAGAAGAATCTTCTGTCCATTGATTGACTCCCCAAGTAGTCTTAATGGCTAGAGCTGAGCCAAACCCATCTGAAGCCAGGAGCCAGGAGCTTCCTCCAAGTCTCCAACATCAGTGTAGGGTCCCAATGCAGAAGAATAAGTCAGACCAATGTCATGTAAGAACCACCTGTGTTGGCCATGAAGATGCAATAAAATGGTGACTAGCCAAGGAATGTGGATGACCTCAGAAGCAGGAAAAGACAAAAGAAAGCCCTTGGGTGGGAGAGCAACTCTCTGCCAGCTTAACTTTGACACAATAAGACCCATCCTGTGCCAGACTGCTAACTTGTGAAAAAAAACTTGGAGAGGGCCCGGTGCAGTGGCGCAGTGGTTGAGGTCCTCGCCTTGCACGCCGGGGATCCCATATGGGCGCTGGTTCTAACTCCGGCAGCCCTGCTTCCCATCCAGCTCCCTGCCTGTGGCCTGGGAAAGCAGTCAAGGATGGCCCAAAGCTTTGGGACCCTGCACCCATGTGGGAGACCCAGAAGAGGCTCCTGGCTTTGCAGATCAGCATAGCATGGGTCGTTGCGCTCACTTGGGGAGTGAATCATCAGACGGAAGATCTTCCTCTCTGTCTCTCCTCTCTGTATAT